TCGCCATATCCGCCCGATCCGGACCTGGAGGTATTTCCAGAAACAGAGGAATCCCGTACTTGGGGTATGAAGGTTGTCAACATTGTCCCGGATCCNGGGGGTTTCCACCTCTGTGGTTGTGGAGTCCACTGTTGCCTGTTGCGCTGCAGTGAATGGGTGACTGTGTCCAGGAAGAGTGCGTGCCGTAATGTGAGTGGTGGGGTTGTGTAGTAGCGGTGTGATCGTGCATGTTGTGTTGCCAATGAGACCCGATAGGTTTGCCAAGCTTTGTTTTTCTCAACAATCCCTGTGTCTGTGGTGGTCCATCGTGACGTTGTGTTCCGCCCGGCGCTGTTGTTTCAATTTCTTGAATACATCTCTTGTCTTCTCTTTTCTTTCTCTCTTTTCTGTTTTGTATTTTGAGGCAGCTATACAAAGGAACACATTTGTGAGTAAGCTTTCAAAGAAGATCCACATGCGCCGTCTGTTGTTCGCTGCGTTGCTCTTGCTGTGTTGTGCCTACGGGTGCATTGCAAAAACTGAGTACAGGTCGCCATATCCGCCCGATCCGGACCTGGAGGTATTTCCAGAAACAGACGAATCCGAAACTTGGGGTACGAGGGTTGCTAACATTGTACCAAAGGAGGGTGACAAAGTAGGGCAATGGCAAAACATCCGTATTGCTGTGAACCCGGCAATGATGCAGAGTGAAATGATGTACTGTTTGACCAAGGGGCGTCAGATCAGTGGATACACCCGCAGGATACGCAATGGATTCGATAGGGAGGTATGTAAGGTGGTGCGTCGAATCGGTGCCATGAGATTGGCTCGCAGGGTGATGTTGGGTGTGATGCCCAAGGCCATCGAATTGCATGTTGAACGTCTTAAGGTCAAGCGTGTGGAGGGTCCCCTGAGGATTAATGTGTCATCTAATCCAGAACCCATATCTGATGCCGAGGGTACAATGTGCGCTGAAATGGTTCCCGTTTTTGACGGCGATGAAGGGATGGGTATTCCCAATGCGGATTTTGTGATCTATTTGGGTCTTTCTACCAAAAACCCGGGTACGAAGATTTGCACTTACGACAGGAGGGGACGCCCAACATCTGCCATGATCAAATTGAATCCATCTGAAATCGAATTTACGCCACAGTATATTCGCCTTGTTGCACACGAGATTGCGCACGGACTTGGGTTCTCCATGGACGTGAAGAAATTCAAGGAAATGGTGCGTAGTGAGGACAGAAGCAGTTTTGTAGGGTATAGGGACCTCAGAAGTTCGAAGATAATGGAAAGCGTGTATGAACTTTTCGGTTGTCTTGAGGCCATTGGAATAAAATTGGATAATTCTCCACCGGAGAGCGAGAACGATGATGAACCCCATTTTGGTGGGAGTGCTGTGCAGGACGAGCTGATGGCCCCACTTCACAGAACCAGAGGCGGTAAAAGGTTGTACAGCACGTTGACTCTTGCTGCATTTGAGTCTACAGGGCATTACCAGGTGGATTACAACAAGGCTGAAAAATTATGGGAGGGCAAGAAGGCATGCGTGTACCTCAAGGTCCCGTAAACCAAAGATGACAACATCTCCAGGTGGGACGATGTGTTCTGCAATCCCAATTACAGAGCAGTCGTTTAGGTGTATACCAGTTTGATTTGTTCTTCCTCCGCATTCTCTGGGCTCTGTCTTGGTGCGGTTCACTGTGCCCGCCTGGTGATGTGTGTGTGTGTTCCGTGATATTACTTGCCAATTATTGCTTTTGCCCATGGGAATGGGATTTTTCCCAAGATGATTTGATGACTGTGAATGAAATGTGAGGGATGATAGGAGGTTCAAGACACACACAAACACGCACACTACCAACCCTCCTTCTCCTTGTGTGTGTGTGTGTGAACTGTCATTATGTGTGCATCATTCCCGCTGGTTGCCCTGTACGAAAGACACACGCCCACACACACACCTACTGAAGAGAATTGTGTTGCTTGCCGCCTGAAGATATTCACTTGGTGGTCACGGCTTTCTTTTCATTTTGTTTTGTTTTTATTATTTTGCTTTTTCTCTTGTGTGTGTGTGTGTTTCATTATAATTTCATTGCACGTTATGTGCATCTGTGTGTTTCTCTTTTGCGTTTCCGATACACCTTGTGTATCTTGTGTGTTCATTTTTATGGAATGATTCTTTTTTTTCTCATTATATACAAACTGCTGCACGGACATCAAGAATAAAGATATGGGTACAGCACGTTCAGTACACAATGATTTTCCGTTGTTAACCTTGGGGTGGATTGGACTGTGTCCAGGCATCACAGCCCCAGTAAGTGATGAATTTCTTTTGCTTTTACATCTTTGCTCTATTATTGTGTCTGCCTCACGCAGTCACTCTTTTTTTACATTTTTATTTTGGTATAAAGATCGGTGGGTTGTAGGTGTTTGAGTCTTTTTCTGTGTGTGTGTGTGTTCAGCTTGCTACTCACACCGCCCACGTAATGAAAACACATTTCTTTGTTCTCACCTTCTCTCTCGGTGGTGTCATTCACAGCATTGCCACGAACATATTTGTGCCCTTGTGGTGTGTGTTGTTTGTTGTGTGGCTTGCTTGAGTGACTGCAGCCTGTGGGGAGATGGAATGAGACTGTTCCGCTTCAGCTTCACGTAATGGGTCTGTTTTTTCTCTTTTTGGGATTGAGTTGATGTGCTGGTGTGGGTGGATGCTTCTCTGATGAGAGTGGCACCTGTGATTATTGTATTGTGGGTGCCTTGTGTGCTGTTGGTATCCTGTTGTTGTTGTTGTTCTTTTCTTGTGTTTTTCTTTTCCTCTC